GCAACGAAATATATATAGCACAACGGGACGTTCGACGACAGCCGTAAATAGGATAATTCAGGCATATAGGGACGAGGGCGGCCGACAACGAGATGCTGCGCGCTCCGGCCGATATCGATGCACGTCAGAGGAGGTCGACCAGCTGATCGTTGCGGCAGTAGTAGCGGATCCCTTCCAGAGCGCTCAAGAACTTCGGGACGCTCTGGACATGTATGTTAGCTTTGCAACGATTCGGAGATGATTGCGAGAGGCTGGACTTCAAGGTGGCGTGGCTGCTCAGAAACCTTACCTCACCGATAGACAACGGCGGCAGCGACTAGACTTTGCTCAAGCGCACGAAGACTGGACCCTCAGTGAGTGGGGTGAAGTTATCTTCACAGATGAGTCTACGTTCAGCTCGAGGTGGGACCAGCGGCGCCGCGTTCGGAGGCCATACAACTTGAGGTATTTGTGGAAACACAACACATTTATCTTATAGCAAATAACTAAACAAATTAATTCTTGCATCGTCCAATTGATACTTCGACCCGCTTCTGAAGTTGAATTCAACTTTGTGATCTCGCACTTTCAATTTATTCGGCGGTCATAATGTTTTCATTTACAAAACAAACGTTTGTTATTTATTTGGTTTTGTCTGCATTTGTGCCAAATTGTTCTCTACGGCAAGCATTTTATGTCAGCGCTAAATACAAGAAGTAAATTAAATAAATGAAAGACTCTTACAATTCTCTGTAATGCCGAATTGGAGCGCAGCTCTTGAGGAAAAGGAGGGGAGGGTACGGAGGGGAAGGTATGCCCCTCCGTACCCTTTCTTCCTCTCCTGCTCCTCTCCCGAATAGTGGGAAACCTTCGCTAAATTTAGCAGGGAAATTGTCCGCTAAAGTTAGCGGGGAAATTTTTCCACTAAATTTAGCGGGGAAATTTACCCATAATGCAGCGCGCGGTTACTGCGACGCCGACGCCGCTCAACCCGGAAACAGGCGCCTAAGAGCTGCGCTATAAATTCAGCCTGAATACGTTTCCAACGTCCTCAGCAGTGGACGCTGCTCCGTGAAGGTGTGGGGTGCGTCGAGCCTTGCGAGACTCGAACCACTGGTGACCCGCCATCGTTCAACTCGGCATCCTACTGTGACCTGCTGGACAACACCCTGATCCACTACGCACTAGATAGGCCTTTTCAGGATGGCTCTTTTATCTTGCAGCACGAATGTAGCCCCATTCATACGGCAAACTCTGTCCGAGCACTTCTGGAGGAGCGAGCTGTGCACGTCCTGGATCGGGTCCCTAAACAAGCAGGTTTTAATATAATAAAGAACGTTTGGAGAACACTGAAGTCAAGGCTTGCGAGGATGAACTTGAGGACGGCTGATACAGATGATCTTTGGATGGCCATCAGAGGAGAGTGGGAACGCCTTAGTCAGAGAGTTGGCTATGTCGAAGCCCTTTTCGAATCGTTGCCCGGCTGTACGTAAGAAGCAGTCCGCTTGGGGGGAGCCGTGACTCACAATTAATAATGAAACAAACAAGTAGGGGTGTGCGAATAGTGAATCGTATAATTGTATCACTGAATCGAATATGAATCGAATAATTTTCAAATAGTAACTAGACTGCTACTTAAGAAGAGTACAGATTAAAGAAATTATTTATTTTTCCAAAATGTGTCTTTAAATTATTGTAACAATGCGACTAGATAGTAGCTAGAATTCAACGATATGCAATTAAATAGAGGCAAAAGGTACTAAACTATTAGAATTCTAAACATAACATCAAGGTTCACGCGGATGCTGAACATATCACAGTTCGCGCGGAACTAAGAAAGTAAAAAGAGGAATCTTACACCTTATCAGATTTCTTTCCACCAGCCATATGTGAGGGAGGTGAGACAGTACAGTACACTAGACATCCTATTTTCTCAGAGAAGAAAGTGAGGAAGCTTGTTACGTCACCTTAAAATACTTACAGTTCCCATGCAAAAAAAAAATAAAATAAGCTTTTCCACGTGTTCTGAAGCAAGAGACACTCGTCGGCTTGTCACAGTGTTGAAGCACGTTGAGAACAGTCTCTCGCTTGCAAACTGGGTTCCAAGAATTGCCAGATAGTGTCGCAGTGCACATGCGAGGGTCTTATACTTTTCTTTGCCTACCACTTCCCACCAGTGGAATGGGCTGTAGGCAGACTTGTGCCTATCTTAAATACTCTACTCAAGATACTGTATCTTAAATACTTTTTGAAGTATCTTGGTATCTTGCAAATACCTTTGATCTACAGTCTACATGACAAAGTATGCATTCCAGCCGTTGGCAAAGTAGGAAAATGACCCCCGCAGTAATAAACGCAGACTCGAGGAACCGCTTGCGCGGACGCGACAGGGCCGGCTTCATACGTTCAGGAACGCACCGACTCCTACTTATTGTAACCTAAAATGTTGCCAATAAACGGAGAGCTATTGACGGGACGCCTCAAGCCCGATTAGCGTGACCCTCCCCAAAAAGGTTGTCAGAGGACAAGAATTCTACACAGATCGGCCTTCGTATTTGCCAGCTGCTGGACGCGTGAGCGTGCAGGCTGCATTCTTCATCAAGGCTGAAGTGGTTTGAAGGGATAGCATAATCGGCTTCGGGCGACGGGAGAGCTTCCCCCGAGATGAGACGGGTGATAAGACAGGGTCGCCGTTCTGCCACCGCCATGTCCTTGCGCACTATGCGAATAACTGCGCAGAAGGTCCATCTTTGTGATAGCGGTACCCTCTGCTGCGTTTAGTTTGTTTGCCACAAACTATTACGCCATTATAGCTTTAGGAAAAGCGGAGATATGTGCCCGGCCGCCCTTAATTTGATGTCGAAATCACGAAAGCTTCCTGGGCCTCTTCATTCGCATACTTCTACCAAGATTTGTTGACTGCATCACACAACCACCAATCATTATCATCGTCCGATCGCATTTCTACGGCATAAAGATTTGTTGCATGACACAAACTTTATACGGAAAACACTGCGTAACTTGTAGAAAAAGAACTCAATTCAGAACAGAAAGTCCCAGGCTTTGTATTTCCAAAAAGTTCTCCTGAACAGAATATGAACCTTTGGAAGGAAAATTTAACAAAATTTATGTTTACGTTTAAAAAATATGACACCTCAAATATTGTCAGCAACTGTAAAAACGTTTATGCTAAAACAAGTTGCACCATGAAAGTCGCATTATGAATTGCATGGCCACTTACTAGAGCAAGCCCTCCTCTCCCAAGTGACTGGGTAGCCGAGTAGATTAAAGGCAAAAGAAAATAACCTTGGGCTACCCAAGATTGTTTTTTTTTCCAAGATTTTCCGGACCAGAGTCGGTATTGAAAATATGGTCACTTCAACAATATAAGAAACTAACACTAAAACACCAATATAAGGCGCTTAGCACAAGAGAGCCCGTGGAAACCCGCTATTTGGCTAAATGATCGCGGCTTTTCTAGCACACTGCACACTTTTTATAACGTAATAGCTTTTTTCTAGAGCAGTCAACCTACAATTCCTACCTAGTTACGTTTCCCTTTTGCATGTGACTTTTAATGCGCTGAATTGTCTTCTTACCTACAAAGATGGTCGCCAGAGCGTCGGGTTCAGGCGAGCCTTCTACAGACCCAAACCCATACGTCCGAAGACGTTTCGAACAAAAACCGGTGTACTTGCTTAAACCCACCCACCCCTTTAAAATATCGGCGACGAAGTGGAAAAGACGGTAAGTGGGAAGAAAAACTGCGACGAGCGCTGTTCGTGAAAGCTGGCGGCTACACATGAGTACGGCATCGTGCAACAGCACGAGTCAGTTAGTTCGGTGCCACGAGAATTTCACAAACACGTGAACAAACGAGAAAAATCGACACGTCAGGCGATTGAGTCAATAGCATGATCGGTCAAGGGATAAAAGCAAGCGCTATGCAGCGGGAGAACGACGACGGCTCGAAAAGGCACTAGAGCAGCCTACGAGGAAAGCGCGGCCAGCCGCGGTGGGGTTCCCCAGCCGGTCCTTTTGTGATGCCGGCAGGCGGGATTTCTCCTTCCTCCCCTTTCCCTCTGCTTCGGAGAGGCGTGGCTTCAGCGCTACTTTGAAGGCGCTTTTCCGGTTAATCCGCGCGGAACACGACCAAACGAATACGATATTCGTGATGAATGAGGTCTCATTATCTAGGCTCGTGTTTTTTCCCATATTTAAAACCGCTTCAGCTTCCCTTTAAGGTGACAGTAGTTCTGTAATAAAGCGCTCGCCTCACAACCAGCAGACCCAGAATCTACTACTGACCGCGGCCAAATGTAACAAATCTTTTTACAGCACTCGGGTTTATTGATGACAGATACCCTATGCCCAACGCCATCATTTCAGGGCGTGGGAAGAGCCCATAACAGCTATTCGCAGATGCAGACGGGCAAACAGCACCAAACATTCTCAATCCGAACCTGATCGTTGAGGGTCTCGCGCTAACTTCCACTTCAGCATCAAAACCTTCAATTGCATGGCAGACAACGCATAAAACTGAAGTTTTAGGGCCTAAAAGCATGTGCCTGGAGTCGCGAATACCGCTGTAAAATATACACAGGTTTCGCTGACGAAACTCAGTAACCAGAAATGGCATCCTTGGCATGTGCCACCCAGCTTCATGAAGTGCTCGCAGAGCAGTGTGGCAACATACCTTCCACCTCATTCATGAGACGTATGGCGACCACAATGACGACACGTGAAAACCATGTATTTGGCTGGCCAGAGCGGTGGACATGCGAAAACGAAACGCTATGTAGGCTTATTGCAGGAAGGCGCTGTGTGAGGGGTTGGACGTCAAAAGATTTAAGGGAAGCCTCCCCGAGGAAAGCCGCATCTCACATTCTGCTATGTCTCTCTGCAAGAAGACGGTACCAGCGTCGTTTCCTACCTCTGTGTGCATTGTTCAGCGTTTGTGCCCAGAAAAGAGTCTCGTCGCCGTGATTTTCAAACCATGCATACTTTTTTTGTCAAAACAGAGGGTGCCACACAAGGGCAGGAGGACGGTGCCCAAAAGCGCTGCCAAGTTCACCACAAAGCCATCATCTGCTCCTGCAGTGAACCAAGGTGCCGGGGTGTCTCCTGTGGGACCACCACCTGCTGTCTCGGACGACGAAAGCACTGCCGAGGCTTCCATCACTGCCACCTCACCGGTGACATACAGTGTGCTGCGCCACGTAGAGGCCATGTGCTCAACCTGCGACTGCAAGAGAACCATGAAAGAGCAGGGCGTGTAGTACGACACAGCTGCCCCTGATCACACATACAGCTCGACAGCTGTGGTCATGCCCCCTGAAGCCACTGACAGGGCAACACAAACAAGCTCCACAGTGCATGAGAGTGTTCCCGACAGCCATCGTTTTTTACAGGCCTTACGAAGCCTGTGTTTGAGGAATATGTATCACTGGTGACTTCTCTCGCAAAGGCGTCGTTTCTGATGCCAGTTGAAGACCAAATTATGTTGACTCTGATGCGGCTACGGATGGGATCCCTTCTTGCCGACTTAGCATTTTGTTTTCGCGTATCCACGTCTTCACGTATCCGTCACCAGGCGGATTTTTTCGGTCGCTCACCAGTCACCTAGCTGTGTTTGGAGATTTATGTTTGTCCTTTGTCCCTCTTGTTCCCCTTCTCCAGGGATTACTTTCGTCATTCTTGTCCAGCTCGCTTGCACCTTTGCATTTAATTGCATTGTAATTATAACCTTAAATTGCAAGCTTCACCCTTGTTGGTGTTCGACTGGTGGCAGCTGATAAAACCCGTTTGCTCTACCGACGTCTAACCCCTGGTTAGCTCAGTTGGTAGAGCGCTCCACTTGTAATGGAGAGGTCCCGGGTTCGATACCCGGACCAGGCGGATTTTTTCGGTCGCTCACCAGTCACCTAGCTGTGTTTGGAGATTTATGTTTGTCCTTTGTCCCTCTTGTTCCCCTTCTCCAGGGATTACTTTCGTCATTCTTGTCCAGCTCGCTTGCACCTTTGCATTTAATTGCGTTGTAATTATAACCTTAAATTGCAAGCTTCACCCTTGTTGGTGTTCGACTGGTGGCAGCTGATAAAACCCGTTTGCTCTACCGACGTCTAACCCCTGGTTAGCTCAGTTGGTAGAGCGCTCCACTTGTAATGGAGAGGTCCCGGGTTCGATACCCGGACCAGGCGGATTTTTTCGGTCGCTCACCAGTCACCTAGCTGTGTTTGGAGATTTATGTTTGTCCTTTGTCCCTCTTGTTCCCCTTCTCCAGGGATTACTTTCGTCATTCTTGTCCAGCTCGCTTGCACCTTTGCATTTAATTGCATTGTAATTATAATTATGAATTCATTTATGCATACTTCCATTTTACAGAGATCGAGCGGGAGGACAATCTTGGTCAGTCGGTGATGTCTGGGACGCATGACGGGTGCAGAGCAGACTCAAGATTGCACAGATGCAGCAGCGGATCTTGAGTTTGGAAGCTAACAACATGCGCCTCTAGTGGAGCTACAGCACCACGAGACACGGCGGCTATCGGTTGACTTTATCAGACATGACCCCAAGCAGTGCATTTATTACACTGGGCTGCCCGAGTTCGCTGTATTTGAAGCAGTATACGATTTTTTTGCACCTCGGGCATCCCAGATGCAATACTGGTCCAGCGGTCGAAAGAGTAACGGGATGAAAGGCCGCCTTCGGGAGTTGGAGCTCATTGAGGAATTCTTCATGGTACTTACTAGGCTGAGAACGGGAATGGCTGGCAGGGAAATGGCCCGCAATTTTGGAGTACATGAAGCGACGGTGAGCAGGCTGTTTACAACCTGGATAAACTTCCTGCAGCGAGAGTTGAGTACACTGACACGGCTTCCATCTCTGCACGAAATTCAGATGTATCTGCCTCATGCCTTTCGCTACTTCTTAAACACAAGAATAGTTCTCGACGGAACGGAGGTGCGCATTCAGAGGCCCTCTTCCCTGGCTGCCCAGAGGCATACTTTTTCACCTTATAAGCATTTTAATACTTATAAGGCGGTCATTGGCTGAACCGCTGATGGCTACGTTTCACATGTTTCCAAGTTGTGGGGAGAGTCAGTTTCAGACAGGCTGATTGTAGAGGAGAGTGGGTTGTTAGGGCTATTGGAATCAGGTGACGCCATTAAGGTGGATAAGGGTTTCAAGCTTAATAAGATACCAGCAGGGGTTCAGGTGCACATCCCTGCTTTCAGAAAGCCGCAAGAGCCGTAAATGCCAGAGGAGGACGTTGCGCACTCCCGCCGGGTGGCTAGTGCCAGAGTAATTGTTCAGCGTGTGATTGGGAGGGTAAAACAGTTTCACATTTTGGATCGTCCGTTCCCCATCACAATGATGGGCATTGCTAACCAGGTCTTTCAAGTTTGTTGTTTCTTAAACAATTTCCGCGAGCCACTGACTAGGGATTAGTAGTGTCACAGTCAAAACATGTAAACTTCCCTGTGTAAACACTTTAAGGCAATAAAAAATTTTGCGAAAAAACAAATCACTTGCACGACTTATTTAGCATGCACGCTGAATGATGCATGTTAAATGGATGCGAAAAAAGATTTTGGATCTCGTAAAACAAGCCAGGTGCAATAGGCGGGGACACTACAAACCCCCATAACATCACTCGTACCGCAATATTTCGAACGGATGGCCGTATTTTTAGGAAAGAAGAGAGCGATTGAACGACGAAGGCAGGCAAGGCCTGTCATGTTCAGATTCTCATTCCCCCTCCCCCCTTTGCCCCCTCGAGGAGGTAAACCGAACCGAGGAGCAGAGAAGGACGTCCGTTTTCTTTCGTTCTCAACCGTTCCCAGAGAATGGCTACGTCACATTCTTTGCTCAGTCCTTCCCTTTTCGTCCAAAAACACGGCCATCGGTTCGAGATATTGCTGTATGAGTGATGTTTTGGCGTTCGTAGCATCCTGTGAACACTTCTGCGGCCTTATTTTGTTAAATCCGAATTTTGGTTCAGCATTCCTTGAAAGACCCCGTGTTAGTAGTCATTGTGCAATCACTAAATTGTTCCTCTATGATGTGGACCAGTGTCACCACAGCAAAGCCAGTCCGACCACTCTCTAAACATTAATCTACGACTACCGTGCGAGTTTTTCACAACTTTGCACCAGGCCCATCCGGTATGATGTATTTATCTTTTCTTAATCATGTTATGAGGCAATCAATTGGCTGCTTACATTGTAACTTCATCACTGCTGTCCAACCACGTTAGACCTATTGCTTGTGGCACTTTCCCGATTTTAGCAATCATATTTACTAGAACGTACATAATTTCTGAATGTAGGCCGACCCTTGTATTAAAGAAAAAGAAATATCTGAGGCGAAAAACAAACTAATTAAATATAAACGGACAGTTTGGCCACATCAAGCTTCCTACCACTGCTCTGCGCACACATAAAGCTTCACCACTTTGCATCTGTGTGCTTGGTAGAAGTAGCCGACTCGCGTGGCGTACCTCAAACAGCTTTATCCTCTCCGAAATTTCGCTCACTGTTACAGGTCTCTCATTGTTGCAAATATATTTCTCATTAACAAGTGATTGTTGATTATATGTAAGCCTGAAGTTATCTGGAGATGTGTGCTTTGTTGGAATAGGTTACTGATTGCCAGAGTTGGAAGTTCCCTAGACTTGGACAGCTTGGCCTTGAGCAGGCATGTGATTTTTTGTTGTATAAACAGTTGAAAGAAATGTAAATATGTATGATAGCCTGTTCCAACTAACCTTGTATACATGTTTGCCAGCACATTAGGGGCTGTTGATTTTAATAAAATACGAGCACTAGCTTCGAGACCTGGTTTTCTTTTATTGCGTATTCCTCAAGACATGGCAGATTCCTGTCGGGACGAGGTTGGCGTAAACGAAGCGTTTAATTCGAGTTAACGATGCATTACATGGTTACATGAGCAGCGAGCCCGCACGTCAAGTCTCCGTGCGTCCGTCGTGTTGGCGTTCTCCGACCCAGACTCTCGCACTCAGCTTTCTCGCTGGCTTCTTTGTCGTCTGGCTTGTGGCGCCCTCTTCGTGCTGTGGCTCTCACGACACACCCCTTTCTTTGAAGACTCCCAGCACCTACAGGTTGAGGCGGCTTGGAGGTCTTGATTTTCGTCCACCTCTCGTAACGGTTATTCCAGGCTGCCAAGGTTGCAGATGTCTGCTCGTGCGATGAGTGATGCCATTGGCTGTGTTCACCGCATATGACCTAGGAGACTGCGTTGATTGCAGCACTGTCCCACTTGTGGCTGCTCCTGACAGAATTCGCACAGCTGTATGTGGAGGTATAGGGTCTCGTTCTTTGACCCTATGACGGGCATCGTAATGTGCACTCAGCTTGGCTTTGTATGCACGATTCTTTTTCCGAAAGGGCTCGCTGTTCCACCGAGGCTGGAACACTTTGGACACAGCTGGAACATTTGTCCGTATCTTTCTTCCCATCATGAGTTCCGCAGGGGAGTATCCTTCAGTTGCAGGGGTATCCCGATGAGCAAGCAGCACCTTGTGGATGTTCGGCGACTTCTTAAGCAGCTGCTTCGCCGTCTGTACGGTCCTTTCCACCGCCCCATTGCTCTGAGGATAATATGGGCTACTTGTTACATGGCGTGATCCCCACTCCTTCGCAAACCTTTCGAATTTGGCAGAAGCGAATTGGGGCCCATTGTCTGACCGAATGATGGCGGGGGCTCCAAAACGGGCAAACATCTCGCTGAGTTTCCGTGTGATGTCTTGGGTTGTTGTCTTTCTTAATTTCTCAAGTTCAAAGAACCTCGAGAAATAATCTACAACTACAAGGTAGTTCTCTCCATTTTCGTAAAAGAGGTCTGCGCCTACAACTTCTCATGGGTGATTCGGGAGTGGAGTGTGTAGCAGGGGCTCTGCGCCAGGCTTTCGGTGTGTCTGACACACTGGACATCTTGAAACATAGTCTTCAACACTCCTGCTGATGCCAGGCCACCAAACTGATTGATTGGCCCGAGCTCTGCAACGACCTACGCCCTGATGACCCGTGTGCAGGCTTTCCAGCACCTCGTCCTGCATGCTTGGCGGGATGACGATGCGACTTCCCTTGAGAAGTTCTTCAACTACCGTGAGCTCTTGGGACACATTAGCATATTTCTGTACTGCTAGTGGCAGTGACACGCCCTTGGGCCACGTCGTTCAACAATAGTTCCCAACAGTCGCGATAGTTGGATCCCGCTTTTGTTCTTCTTTGATCCTCTCCAGCATGTTGGTGGA